TGTAGTATTGATTTTTATCAGCCATTCTCTTTGCCAGAAGTTCGCATGGCATATCATACCCGTTCTGATACTTCCACTGAGCTGCCTCCATCTGTGCTCGACGAACCTATGACATAAATTTTTACTTAAGTATTTTCATAGCACTTAGTAAAAGGATATACTTGGAATTTGCAGTCGGGAATCATTCCTATAGCACAACATCCCACAGTAGGAGATAGATTATAAATAGATGTGACTGATTCAGCTACAATAAGACTGTCTGGCACACGTTTCTGAACGGCAATCACTGCGGTGTCGATGCCCTAAAAGAATAAATGTGAACGTATTCTTCTCATAACATGTTATGTATTACATCTATCATATTAAAGGATCGAAAAGGAAAGCTAACTAATTAAAAGGATTAAAAGCGAACAACTCATTGCGGCATTTTTAAATCACGATAACGAAACTAAAGAAAAAGCTTGAAAAGCCATTCAATACTGATAGGGAAGCATACCTTGACTGCAACAGCGGTCAAATTTGTGGAGTTAATTGCCTTGAAAGCATACTCAACCTAAAATTTCATTTATAGTGTGAAATGTAAGTTGCTTTTGAGACTCACTTGATACACACGGCCTTCAGGTGAGAAGATGGTAATATGACGATCGAATCCAGCACTGCTTCCACGAGACATATCTGTGCAGGGAAAAAAATGATTCAAAATAATGGGAAAATCAAAATTAAGACGGATATTACACTGAGGTCAAACGAACCATTTGGAGGATTGAACCAAATAAAGAAGATTTAATCTTCATTTCAAATACCACTCTTCAAAATCTAACAAGTAACAAAAACAATCCAGCAGCAACACGTAACAAACATATGTACATAATTTATAAGACTAAATTTTGTAAATTCAAGAGTACTCGATGTCTTTTCTTTTGCATTTGAGGCACGTATAAAACACCGTTTGGCCTTCGTCTGCTGATCTTGTTTGCATTGTGGAATAAGACGCTTTGTTATGGCCGCATCTAAAAACAAGTTACTTCATGCTTTGAAAATGGCGAGCAAGCCTGCTTATAGTGGCTTC